AGGAGCGACTGTCGCTCCGGTCAGAAAAAAGTTTCAGTGGTGGGCCCAAGGAAGCGTTCCCACTAGGGAACCTGCTCTATACCATGTTAAGAAATGAGGAATGAATGAACTAGCAAGCAGGTGGGTACAAGTAGGAAAAACTAGAAGTGTTGTACCCCATATTGTCTACCCCACTATAGCCTACACAGACTATAGCATAAGAGTCTGACAGAAACCTCGCACGACAAAATAGAAACCGCGCGAGACACACAAAATGATCGCGTTACACGCGACTAGCGATAATTCGCTATTGACTTGACACACACACTCGACATCATGACCCATCATACACACACTATTATAAGCATGAGATATATATTATTTCATGCCCTCATTCCATTCCATGCACGCACGCATGCACGCACACGGACAACAAGCCGAGCGCAAACCGTAAGGTTGCACCAACAGCCTTAGGGCTCCCGCAAATCTTGCCGTCGCTCCCGACTTCGCCTCACCACCTTGTGGCCCTTGTGACAAAGGCCGGCTGCACGCCACCCCTCACTCCTCCTCCCTTCGTCCCACCACCGAGCCCTTCGAGACTCTTCACTTGGACGTCTGGGGCCCTGCCTCTCGCCCCGATCTTGAGTGAGAGAGTTTCTTTCTAGTGGTCGTTGACGATTGCTCTCGCTACACCACCGTTTTTCCTTTGGCGAAGAAGTTAGAAGTGACTTCTACGCTGATCCGGTGGGGACTCATCACTGTCGTATCAGTTTTCTTCACTCTGACCGTGGGGGTGAGTTTCGCTCCGGCGTCTTTGCCGGATTTGTCGCGAGCAGGGCATCTTCAAGTCCTGGACAATTCCAGAGTCCCCACAGCAGAATGGGGTTGCTGAGCGCCGCATAGGCTCGTTCATGGAGATTGCACGCACCTCCATGATCCACGCCAGTGCGCCCCATTTTCAGTTGCCCTACGCGGTCCGGTATGGCCCTCACCAGCTGAACCTCTGGCCACGTGTCTCTCGGCCAAGGGTTTCATCGACCTGCCTTTGGACCGGGTCCCTTAGTGTTACGTCGTGTTTTCGTGTTTGGGGTTGCCGTGTTCGCGACACCTCTGTGGACAAGATCTCGCCCTGCGTCATTCCCTGTGTCTTCCTTGTTTTCCTAGAGGACTTCTCTGACTTCACCTTCTACCACTCTCCCCTTCACCAGTTCCTTGACTCTCGTCACGTCAGCTTTGGCGATTCAGTCCCCTACTACACTCGGGACCCCTATCGAGGTCTCCCTGTTCCTCCTCCCCCTCTCTTCCTGGCTCCCACTCCCCCTCTTACTCCTCTGGTATAGCTCCCCCCTCTGGTCCAGCCCCGTCAGGTGTGTCACACACTACCCCCCTCCCCCCCCCCCCCTCAGTAGCTCCTCAGGTCCCGTCCCCTTCTCGGCACTCCTCCTCACAGTTACCGCAGCAACCGTCAGCACTTTCTCCACAGGCTGCTGCAAACCCTAAGGGTGTTGGTGTCCGTAGTACGGACCCTGGACGTGCTGCCTCTGGAGGTGTTGGAGTTGGAGCTGAGAGTGTGCCTGCACGAGGTTCTGGTGCTGGGGGTGCTGGAGTTGGAGCTGAGCCCGTGCCTGCAGAATGTTCTAGTCTTCGGGAAGCTTGTGTTCGTCAAGCAATCACTGGGGGTGCTACGACTGGGAGTGCGGGTGCGCCCTCTTCTGGACCTAGAGAGCCTAGGACTGGCCGCGTTTCTTAATGGCGGTGCTGGCTCTGGGGGTGGTGGGACTGGTGCTTTGGAGAGCGGTCCTGGGGCTACCACTGCCCCGGACACTACTCGTTCCCCCCACCCCTACCTGACTCGGCACCAGGCCCTTCTTCGCCGTGCACGTGAGGAGCAGCTGGAGATGGAGCGAGAGAGGCTAGTGTTGGAGCGGCAACAGCTGGAGGTACAGCAGTTGGACTAGCAGTAGCAGCAGGAGCAGCACCCGCCGCACCAGGAGCAGCAGCCACCGCAGCAGGAGCAGCAGCCGCCGCAGTAGGAGCAGCAGCCGTAGCAGTAGCCGTAGCAGCAGGAGCAGCAGCAGCAGCAGCAGCAGCGGCGGCTGCCTCCGCCTCCTGTCTCTGGCCTTCGAGCCCTTGGTCTCCCCTCCCCCTCTCCTCCTGTCTACAGTCCCACGTTGTTTTCCCCTGTTCTCAGTCTCCGTTGTCCCCTCCTCTTTCTCACACTTGGCCTTCTTGCTCTCCTCGTGTTTGTCCCTCGTCCCCTGTTCCCATCACTGACCTTCGTACTGCACTGTATCGTCCTAGCTCCCCTCGTCCGTCTCCGTCTCTGCTTCGTTCTCCCCCTGAGTCGGCCCACACTATTTCCCTCTCTACTACTGTCACTGACTACTACCGCACGTACCGTCCTGTGTGCCTCTCTGTCCTCTGTCTCCGCCCTTACTGCCACAATCACTAAATTCGCCGCTACTCGCTGCCTTGACTACGCCACTCGTGTTGGCTGCTCCTCGTACCTGTCCTTTGGCCATCAAAAATGGGTCTGCCCTTGGCTGTGACGCCCTAGAGGACAGGCAGTTTGAGCTAGAGTTCCTGACAGCCGCTTCGCTTCATATCTGTGCCATGTTGCTCGTCCCGAAGGGACCGAGGCGTCCTTGACATACCAACTCCTCGCACTTACGCTGAGGCAGTGTAAGGGCCTTGAACCTCTCAGTGGAGGGCTGCCATGGACGCGGAGATTTCCTCCTACAAATCCACAGGCACCTACGTTGGCGAGGTTCCCCCTCCGGAGGCGAACATAGTCGATGACATGTGGGTCTTCAAGGTGAAGTCGCCACCGGGATCTCCTTCGGTCTTCAAGGCGCGTTATGTGGCTAGAGGTTTCAGCCAGTGCGAGGGAGTTGACTTCTTTCAGACCTTCGCGCCTACCTCAAAGAGAGACAACGAGTTACACTCTCTTGACTTCTCCTCCGCCTTCCTTCAGGGTAGCCTACACTGGTACTTTCCATCTTGGACCCAGTGGAGGCTCAGACGTCCGGTCTACGGTCTCCGTCAGACGCCTCGTAAGTGGCACAACACCCTTCGCTCTACCCTGTTTGACCTCGGTTTCCTGCCGTCTTCTGTCGACCCGTCGCTGTTTGTTCGTCGCGGCTCCACACCTTTCTTTGTACTGGTCTACGTCGACGACCTGGTCTTCGCCATTGCTGATACGGTTGCTTTGGCGGACGTAAAGTCCGAACTGCAGAAGAGACACACGTGGACTGACCTTGGTGAGCTGCGCCAGTACCTTGGCCTGCAGATCACCAGAGATAGAGCAGCTCGCACCATCACTTTGACTCAGTCACACATGGTGCAGCAGGCCCTTTTGCGGTTTGGGTTTCATTTCTCCACTGCACAACCTACTCCTCTTGCTGTTGACCACAGACTCAGTGGACCTTTTTTCTGACGAGCCGTTTGAGCCTAGTGGTCCTTACCCGGAGCTTGTGGGCTGCCACATGCACCTGATGACTTGTACTCGCCCGGACCTCGCCTTCCTTCTCAGCATCCTTGCTCGTTTTGCTGTGCCAGGGAGACACCGTCCTGTTTACTGGACAGCAGTTGTGAGGGTGGCGAAGTACCTAGCGACGACATAAGGCGTGAGGTTGGTGATCGGAGGGGGACAGCCTGTCGTGCTCACTGGGCACTGTGACTCTTTTTACGCCGATGACGCCGAGACTCACAGGCCCACGCAGGGATACTATTTCAGCCTGGGCTCTGGAGCTGTGTCGTTGAGGTCTACTCGTTCCTCCTCTGTCTCAACCTCTACCACTGAGGCCGAGATTTACGCTGGAGCCATGGCTGCGGAGAAACCGCGTTGGTTGACCTTCTTGCTCAGTGACCTTGGTGAGCGGCCGAGCTCTGCACCGACCTTGTTCACAGACAACAAGGCGGTGATTCTCCTATGTCGAGAGCCTCGACTCGGGAGCAAAGTGAAGCACATCAGCGATAGATACTTTCTTCTTCGCGAGTTGCTAAGGCGTGGACAGGCTCGTTTGGACTTCGTGGACTACGAGACCAAAACAGAGGACATCTTCACCAAGGCCCTTCCGCCTTGTGACCAGCACATGTTTTGTGTGCAGTTAGGTCTCGTTGACACAGGTTCTCGTCTTGTGTAGACTTGTGCTATCTACTTGCTTGTTTGTACGCTTTATATATACCTTTGTAAACTTTTGAACTAGCCTTGTGGCCTCTTGTTTGTGCTCAGACTGTGTGGTGACGTTGTAATACATCCTGGGCTTTGTCTCTTTGTGATTGGTCTTATGGCCGTACGATTAGTTTGTTGCTTGACACCCCTCACTTATGGGGGTGTGTTAAATGTTGTAGCCTGTAGTGAGGCTTGTCATGCTTATGTACCCCAACCCTCTCTAATAACACACACTTCTTCAATCTAGAAGGACTATTGAGGTTGTGTTCACTGCCCCCCAAGCAAACTTTGGAATGAGCCAAATTATCCACGGGAGTTCATCACATTGCACCCACCCAAATTATGGCAAAAACCTACCACTTATACATCCGCCGATTCTTGAACTTTCCACAGAGTGCTCGATTGTTTTTCCCATGACCTACAACCGCGATTGACTTGCCCCGCCGCAAACTGTAAATCCTGTTAGAGACCTCCTTTAAAGATTCAAAGTTGTCATTGCTCTCGTAGGTGAAGCTGTAGCGCTTGCGGTGGCCAGCCTTGACACTGGTGATGTTTACATAAAAAAAACCGTCCGGACTTGTGTCGATAGGACCACAGGCGTCAGCAATCCGTACGACGGGCTGCGTTCCTCCTGACTTGATGTTCGTGACATTGATTCGTGTTTCAAGGATGTACCACGTTGCAGTTCTTCTGCCAGCAAGGACACGAAGACTCTTTGTCAGTATGTATGGGCATGGGAGGTGACTTCGTACCGTAGTATCTGGCAAATATAACAAGAGTGCAAAGAGAAGGACACCCTGTGTCTCGCAGCAAGGTAGTAAATAATGAAACTATTTGAAGGACTTACCTCACTCCCTTAAAGAGGTATATCCCCGATGCACCTTTGTCGGGATTCCCGCGGTACTTGGCAGGGCGTAACTTTGCGCTGTATTTGACTGACAATGGGAGGGCGCAGAGAAGAAGTGTGGTTACAAACTACAAGCAGTACAGGACCCATATAGTTACAGGTGGAGATTCACACGTCATGCTTCAACAAATATGCAACCCATCATGTACAATCTGTTTGTGAGTTTGCGAAGTTCACCCTCTGCTCTCTACAAAATGTGGGGCCACAACAACCATGCACGAAACCCGCTTTGCCCCACCCATGCCCAGCGGCGATTGCCGAAGCAATGTACAAACACTCAAAATACAGTGGTAGGCAAGGATGTTCAATGCTCAAACATTGCACTCACATTGCATACCTGTCTTCGCCCTTGCACATTGTATCCAACCCCTTCCACATTGTGTCCCCGTAGCCCCTAGCTGTTCGCATACAACCCGCCCCGCACGTGCCAAATTGGGCTGGTACAGCGAATTACTTCGGTTGTGTTGGGTGTACAGTGGTGTCCAACTTGCATGAATCTGAGTCTGAATTCGCATCGACGGAAATTTAGTGGCGTTATAACACGAATGACTACATCGACATTGGATAAGGTGTTGCTGACGCGTCAGAAACCAGCGTCACTTTTGAAGGTGCGCTGTCAAAATCAGATGTGACAGCGCTAATGTGGTTTGGATTAGTGTGGCGAACAGAAACCAAGACATTATAGGGTTTCCATCTCGCTAGTTTCGTCAAGGTACTTGTGAACCCACAGTAGCGAAAACTTCAGACCTCACCAGGTTTGAATAATCACTCCATTTCGTCCAATTTTCGCCCAAGCGAAAACGAGGGCTTTTGGCGTGTGATGCTCCTCTCCGGCTCCTTCAAACTTCATCCACAGCTCAATACCCGTTCATTTCACATCTCACGGTTTCTGTCTACCGTTTCATACACTCGATCAGCTTCTGCGGTGCTCTTCCTGCTCCTACCTCTCCTTCACTGCGTCATAAACACGATTCAAATACGTGTGTCAATTTCTGTTCTTACATCCTCCCTCTTGCAGATACGGAAAGTCTGCTGTGGCGGACGGTTTCTGCTGCGAAATTTTACCGGCTGCACGAAGCTCGAGATTAGGATACCTTCTCACGCCTTCCTCCCCACTGGTAGGTTCATGATCAACTCAGGTGAGTTTCGTTTTCAGCCAAATACGCATTGTCTACTGCGCGACCTTGTTTGTACATATTTTCTTTTGCAGAATACCAGCGCGCTTGACAGCACTCTACATCAGCGACTTCCGAGATTATCGCCAAGCGAAATTTATTGCTAAGTTGATATTCTCCTGAAATTTTATCACCTAGCTTATCACGGTTCCTAGAGGAGTTTCATGGGATGCTCTTCCGAGCATGTCAATGGCATCCATGATCGATAGGTTCATTTGTGGTTTTATGGTTTGGCCATGCATGTCCTCTCTCTGTGTTCTAACTCTGGTGGTGTTCTGCAGAGCCCTCGTTGCGCCCGGAATAAGCTGTAACCGGTAGTTCATGCATTTTATGTACCTGTGTGTGGATCATCATGAACGCGGGTATATAAATAGGATGTTAGGTCTTGTAGCTATTGATAAGGCGGATCGGGTATTGTGAGCATTGCTGTAAGGTTGAGTTGAATTGTAACTTTGGGATTACTAATTTCCAGCAGAGAATTCATTTCATAAGTGGCAAGAAGTTGCTATTTTCCTGAAACCTAGTGTGTGAACTGCGTTTTGTATTCTGCATTTTCCAATTGTTTGTATTCGATCATACTGAGATCCGTGTACTGTGATGATTGATCCGTTAAAAAGTTCCCTTATATGACGATTTTCCAGTTGCTTTAGTGAGGATGAGCAATGTTGGGTGTATGCTGGTGCACTCCTTGCCGAGCCTACTCAAGATTGCTCAGGCAAACGTTTCAATGATTCCTCTAACAAACCTGCACTGTTGAGCATTCATTATGATAAACCACAAGCATTGATGGCAGGGGAAAACCTCAAACAATCACCGAAGAATAATTTTGCATTCTTTTTCCTTCCCAGATTTTGTAGAGCTGCTGGTAGTTTACTAACAACTGAAGGAGAGCGTTTTAAACACTTACTCCATGTTTTCCTGGTCGAGATGAGGGGCCTGGCTGAAGAGACAGACGCGGCAGTCGCGTTGTCACACGGCACGACTCGGAGTGAAGCCGCATACTCGACAGAGAGCATCGCAACCGCTGCAGAAAGGCAAGAGAAAATACGAGAGGCGACCGTTGGCACGAAACACTGCGAAACTATTGCGGGTGACTGGTGACAAGAAGTAGAGACTCTTTGAACTTAACTTCGACTTGAAGTAACGTACCCACGCGACCAAGTAAGGAATACTCTGGTGCTTACCGAGAAGGAAGACCACGCAGGATGCTGTGCGCTTCATGATGATTATGCTGGTCGTGGACTCCAACAATAGTAGTAACGGTGACCGTTGGCTCACAGCTGTGACGACGCGATACGAGCCTAAGATAGTATGCATGCGGTTGGATCTAAACGTTGCCCGATGGTCAACCTATGAACTCCTAACTCCTATCAAGGGAGTAAGGGAAGGCAAACTAGTACGAGCACGTAGTGTGAATATGTGAACTGGATGTCCTGAGCTACGAGAAGACAAGACAGTAAGGACCCTCAGGATATTCCTGATTTGACAGGTTCCGACCGACTAGAGCAAGATTACGAGCAGCCCAGCACCAGCCCACTGATTTGGCAATGGTTGCGTGTTTGACGACAAGCGACTACGACAACAGTATCGAAAGTCATTGCTGGTGCTAAGTGGTGGGTATGCTTCTTGGGAAGTGCGTGGTTTTCTTGGGAGTTACGGATGGTTCTTTGTGAGTCATGCTACTTCTAGCTGTGCTGGAAGAATGGGCGTGCTTGGCTTGACTTTTTTGCTGAGTTGGGTTAAAATCAGCGAGGCGCGTTCACCCACCCGTGAAGTACTTTCGTGGGGTTGGGTAAGAGCGTGTTACGTACCTCGTTAGCCAGTGCTGGTTGCCCCGACCGCCCAATTTGGAGTTTCAAAAAACACTTCGGTTTTACGCGTTTCATTTAAGAAAATTCTCGGTAATGTACGATGAACCTTGCTGGTTGGCTTGATCGTCACTCGATTGCCTCGACCAACCACCAAAATTGAGGTACGGTACGTAACATGCTCTAAGGGCGGGTCAGGTAGGGTTCATTTTTGGATTTTTCGTAACTACCGGTATGCCCTGGTACGAGCCATGGCAAATTCGGTATTCTACAGGCAACTATCTCAGAAAGGGTTGTTTATAAGTTAGGAGGCAGTTCAGATTTCAGGAGGCCTTTGGAAAACGTAAAAATGTTGCATGAAGCATCCTTTCCAACGTCCTCTTCTGATAATCCACACAATCAAACGACCCAACCAATCACAACGAACGGGCACTCAAATCAGAGTGAATTTTCAGTCCTGTCCTGACTTATTTTAGTGGCCACCCAAGGAACTATCAACCCCTCTCCAGTCTCCCCAAGCTGCACCCCCGGACCGGACATACATGCGTAGCAGCACTGCCACTCCAGGCACCCTCTAAGAGCTTTGCTATACAAATGCTCTGCTATTCAAGCGCTCTCTTTATATTTATCGAGGGGTTGTGCTCTGACTCTCAGCAGAGCAGTGGCGCTGGAGGGTCCTGCATGCAGCAGACAAGGCGAGAATGCATGATTAGCACACAGATGAATAGTGGCAGAAAATCAGGAGGAGGGAGAGGGAGAGAGGAGTGTGCTGTATCTATCGCGCCTTTTTAATGAAGGACCATTCGAAAGAGGAGAGGGGGGAGAAAAGAGACGGGGGTAGAAGGAAAAGGCAGAATGGAGTGGGAGGGAGGGAGGGAGGAGAGGGTGGGAGGGAGAGGCAGAGGGGCAGGTGGAGGAGGGAGGGATGTAGGACGGGACAGGAAGAGAGAGAGGGGGAAGGATGAGGATAGAGGGTGTGGGAGATACAGAGTGGAAGTGAGGGCTCACAGATGGAAGGGGAGGCTATTGGGGTTGGCATCTAAGTAGACGCACAGTACCCTTGGGCGACGGCCATGCCACCCTCTAAAGGCGAGAGGCAGGATTTTGGGATGCCTACAGGTGAGAGGGGAGGCTTACAGGTGAGAGGGGAGGCTTACGGGTGAGAGGGGAGGCTTACAGGTGAGAGGGGAGGCTTACAGGTGAGAGGGGAGGCTTACAGGTGAGAGGGGAGGCTTACAGGTGAGAGGGGAGGCTTACAGGTGAGAGGGGAGGCTTACAGGTGAGAGGGGAGGCTACTGGTGCAGTGAGAGGGGAGGCTACTGGTGCAGTGAGAGGGGAGGCTACTGGTGCAGTGAGAGGGGAGGCTACTGGTGCAGTGAGAGGGGAGGCTACTGGTGCAGTGAGAGGGGAGGCTACTGGTGCAGTGAGAGGGGAGGCTACTGGTGCAGTGAGAGGGGAGGCTACTGGTGCAGTGAGAGGGGAGGCTACTGGTGCAGTGAGAGGGGAGGCTACTGGTGCAGTGAGAGGGGAGGCTACTGGTGCAGTGAGAGGGGAGGCTACTGGTGCAGTGAGAGGGGAGGCTACTGGTGCAGTGAGAGGGGAGGCTACTGGTGCAGTGAGAGGGGAGGCTACTGGTGCAGTGAGAGGGGAGGCTACTGGTGCAGTGAGAGGGGAGGCTACTGGTGCAGTGAGAGGGGAGGCTACTGGTGCAGTGAGAGGGGAGGCTACTGGTGCAGTGAGAGGGGAGGCTACTGGTGCAGTGAGAGGGGAGGCTACTGGTGCAGTGAGAGGGGAGGCTACTGGTGCAGTGAGAGGGGAGGCTACTGGTGCAGTGAGAGGGGAGGCTACTGGTGCAGTGAGAGGGGAGGCTACTGGTGCAGTGAGAGGGGAGGCTACTGGTGCAGTGAGAGGGGAGGCTACTGGTGCAGTGAGAGGGGAGGCTACTGGTGCAGTGAGAGGGGAGGCTACTGGTGCAGTGAGAGGGGAGGCTACTGGTGCAGTGAGAGGGGACACTATCGGGGCTGGCACAGGCTGTCGACGTTGCGAACTTACGATAGCCGTGGGCGCACAGGAACCCCACCACCCTACAGGAGAGAGGGGGAGCTATAGGCTTAATGAAGGATTTTGAGACGTCTCAAACCCCTTCTTCAATCACGTGGCCATTCTTCTGGTTCCTGTAGATGTTTGTTGGCGTGGAAATTACCTTCCCGCTTGCAATAGCCGTGGGCGCACAGGAACCCCACCACCCTACAGGAGAGAGGGAGAGCTATAGGCTTACATGCGAGAGGGCAGGCTACTGGGGCTTGCATTGGCCGTAGACGTTACGGTAGCCCTGGGCGCATTGGCAGCCCACCTCCCTATAGGCGAGAGGGAGAGCTATTGGGGAGGCTTACAGGCGAGAGGGGAGGCTACTGTGGCAGTGAGCAGGACGCTAGTGGGGCTTGCACTGGCCGTAGACGTTATGGTAGCCCTGGGCGCACAGGCATGCCACCTCCCTACAGGCGAGAGGGGAGGCTACTGGGGAGGCTTACAGGCGAGAGGGGAGGCTACTGGGGAGGCTTACAGGCGAGAGGGGAGACTACTGGGGAGGCTTACAGGTGAGAGGGGAGGCTACTGGGGTTTGCATTGACCGTAGACGTTGCGATAGCCCTGGGCGCACTTGCATGCCACCTCCTGCCTGTCGTTTGTCTTGATGCACGTGGAGTGTGCCGGGCACTTGACACGGCTGCAGATGTCGTCTGGATGACATCGAAGAGCAGCATAAGGGGAGAGGCATGGGCGGAGTAATAAGGTGAGACACATGCGGTGAGAGGCATGAGAAAAAGCGGCATGAATCACAGTGGAAATTACATGCATGGCAGCGGAAGGGCACGGATGGCTGCAGCGACTGCTGCTCTTGCACACTCAGGACTGCGGCAGCACTCAGGCCAGCAGCAGACTTTTGAGACGTCTCAAAAGTCGACTGCTGCTCTTGCACAATCAGGACTGCGGCAGCACTCAGGCCAGCAGCAGGGCACTGCAGCAGCATGCATGGCAGCAGCAGGGCACGCATGGTGATTGTTGGCAAGCGCAGTAGAAAAGGCCAATGCATGGCAGCAGCATCGGCATGCATGGCAGCAGCATCGGCATGCATGTGTAGTAAGTCGTCTCTTTAGTCGACTCAAACATAGGCATGCATGCATGGTGATAGACGACAATAGCTGGAGCATGCAGGGCAGCAGCATCGGCATGCATGGTGACAGACAACAATAGCACGAGAAAGGCGAATGCATGCGGAAATTCTAGTGTCCAGGGTTTAGGGCAATGCAGGGTAGCAGCAGGACACAGACAGCAGCAGAAGCATGGCACTCACCAATGCATTTTGGTACAATGCAGGGCAGCACCAGGGGCACTCACCGAGCACGCAGCGGATGGACTTCACTGATGCGTTTATCTTGGTGGTACTGCTCTCACACGCAGAGGGGAAAGGCACGCATGGGTGGGGGGGCACATGGGAAGGACGCATGGGAGGCGCTTTTGAGTCAACTGAGAATTCAACTCGGATGGGCTTCACAGATGAGTTGATCTTGAACGCACTGCTCTCAGACGTGCACAGGCGGGGGGGTTGTGGCATGTGGGAAATCGGGGCGTGCAAGCAAGAGAGCGAGCTGTGCTGTGAGGCAGCCAGGCAGTAAAACAAAACTGTGAATCCTCACAACTCACCTCATCTACCCATTGAACGGGCACTTTGCAGCCGGTGCACCCGAGCAAGGGAGTGAGCTGCGCTACGTGCCAGCCAGCCAGTAAAACAAACAAACGGATGAATCCTGACAACTCACCTCATGCCGTACGGCATGAACGGGTACTTTGCAGCTGGTGCACCCGAGCAGTCGGGAGGGCTGCACCGAACAACTGCACCTCGCAGGAGGAGGGAGGGAAGGAGCTTGGTTACATCCATCCCAGAAACAAACGCGCGAGTGCTCACCTCATGTACCCATTGAACAGGTGTTTCGCCGCTGCAGTACCCGAGCAGTCGGGCGACGCGAACAGCTGCACCGCGTTGCACACCGTGCGATCCGAAAACACGTCCCACCACACCAGCGCGTCCGTCGCGCCGCCGCTCGCGATTTCAGGCGCGCTAACGCAGCGCGCAAAGTCGAAGGAGACGGAGCGGGGCTGTGTGAGAGAGCCGAGGAGCATCACCGAGCCCACGCGCACCTCCGCGGGAACCGTCTCGCGCGCCGCGGGCCTGCCAGTTGGCGCGCTCGTCACCCACGACTCGCTCGCCGCGCTTCTACCACCAGTAGTCGTCTCGCTCGCGCCCGTAGTAGTACCAGAGGCGTCGCTTCCACGCCGCTCCGCGTAAACCGGCACCCCCTTTCTCGCGATCGCGCCCCTACCACTGGTTGTCGTCGTCGCGCTCGTGCCTGCACCAGTCGAATCGCTGCCAGCGCCGGCAGTCGCGGCGTACGCGGCAGATGCTCCTCGCGCCAGTAACAATCCCACGTCACTTGCTGCGAAGACGTCACACAGAGAGGGAGAGGAAGAATGGCAAGACACATGTCACACGGAAGGGTAAAAGTCTCGCTCATGCCTCTACCAGTCGAATGGCTGCCAGCGCCGGCAGTCGCGGCGTAGTACGCGGCAGATGCTCCCCGCGACACTTCTACGTTGCTCGCTGCGAGGGAATCACGCGGGGAAGGGCAGAAGGACATTTTAACCTCACTCGGTGCGACGACGATCGACGGGGAAGTGGAACGGCGAGTAAGAAACGCGCGGGTCGCGAATGCGATTGTGACTGACGCGAAGTATCGAACGCGAACATTCGGTGACACCCTTATCGACGAGCACGCAGTTGGAAAATAACTACTAGGTGACTTTTGAGTCGACTCAAAAGTCACCTCGCAGCATTGGATGAGCTTCTCACGGGCTATGTGAGGGTGGGGGGAGGCGACGGGGGAGGGAGTGGGGAGGCGATGAGGGAGAGAGGGGGGAGGCGTACCGATGAGGATGGCGACAACGAGCAGCGTAGTGGCGGCCTTGAAACCTCCCATGCTCGTGGTGCTCGTGGCGCTGGTGCCGCAGTAGTGACGAAAAGGCAGCAACGGAGGTAAATTCGGAGTATTCTGGGGTGTACGCAAGTATCGTATCAATACAGCAGCGAGGCGAAGGCAGGTTCGATAGTCGATGAGGTGAGTGCGTGTTCCTGGCCAGGCCCGCTACTGTATAAATATGCTTCACAGCGCGCGTATTTGATACTGCCCGCGTATTCGATTCGACCCGTATTCCGTACTCCCAGGGAAAATAGTAGAGGCCGCGAAGGCAGTGCAGCTCGCGAATCGAAATCCCGCCCGCCAACGGCGCGGCACGAACTGTTTCCGGTGGTCCGCACGCCCATATTCACGGGCTCTTGGGAACAACGCCGCCCTCATTATCTCTGCAACGCAAAAGAAACCTAAGCTGCGAACGCGGCTCCCATAATCATCTACACGCTGCTCCCATAATCATCTACACGCTGCGGACCGAAATGGCTGCCTGTGCTCCGGGTGACTCGTGGACCAGCAGCAATGGCTGTGCTGGTCTGACATTGTGTGTGCCGTGCCGTGCCGTGTGGGGCGCGGTCGACATGGCTACGTTAGTGACCAAATATGCTAGTGCGCGCCCCCCATGTGCCTGCTTCTGTCCTTGCCGAACTGAAGCCACTTGTAGAGAAACTCGCGAACAAGACAAGAATGGCACAAACTGAATTGATGGTATATTTTAAGATTCGTTAGGGTAATCAGTATAGAAAATACGGTACAGACAGAATAAGGCTCATGAGGTAAGAAATATGGCGTGAATGAAATGGGCATTGTGCGTATCCGCTATACAGAAGTTCGATTCGGTTCGGACCGTACTGGAAGCATAGGTTTGATGTGATGTGCGAGCGACATCTCGCTAAGGCACAGTCCGAACAATATTGTATGCGTTCTTGTACATGCAAGTATTGCAGAGAAAGGGTTGTTTCACAACATTAATAATGCAATACGTGAGACTTCAGGGAACAGAAGAGAAACAAAACAAATCGCAGCATGAAGCATCCATGAAAACGTCCTCTCTATTGATCAAACAATCTCAAATCAAGCCCTGAGCGAGAGTTATTCTTATTGGCCCCAACTGCTCCAAGTGCCACCCCCAGACATTCATAGCAGCAATGCTACTCCAAAGCTTATTAGAAGCCTTCCTATCCAGGCGCTCTGCTTATTAGAGGCTCTGCTTCTATGATCTATCCAGTGGCTCTGCTTATTGTTGGGCTGAGAAGCCCTAGGATCTTTGTAGAGTTTAAGGACTGAGTAGGATTGTAATAGCGGAAGCGTTGTAATACAGAGTGGTTGAACCACCTTGCACTAGTATGTGAGAGCAAAGTAAGTTGATTTGAAACAAGCAAATACAAGGTTTTATATAAGAGTACAAGGAATACGAATAGATATAATAACTGTCTTGCTGTTGCGATTCGATACAGTGCGACTCGGGCAACTGCTCAATGTCGAGTCGGTTGTGTGTCCTTGCTGTCGCGCTGTATTGGTCAAGTCAAAGGTCACTGACCTTTGACCTTCGCGTAACCTCCAGGCGGTTTCCCCAACTTCCGAGGGTTGACTCGCGATGCTTCGATTTGGACTGCTTCGCTTTGAGTCCTGAGTTTCGACACGATAGAGGCGCTTAAGACTTATTGTTCCCAACACTCCCCTTCGCTTCTGGAGTGTCGCTGATGGTGACGTGGCCTTGTCCAGTCAGCAGCATGCAGTACTCGAACTTCTGTTTTCCGAGCTTCTTGGTCAAATAGTCGGCTGCCATCTCGGACGTGGGACAGTAGGATAACTCGAGTCTTCCTTTCTCGATCTCGTCTTTCACGAAGAAGTATCGCAGAGCGATATGCTTCGTTCTGTTCGCGAATCCGTTTTTGTTGGCGATGCGAATTGCAGATTGGTTGTCGCAGTGCAGGGTGAAGCTGGGTAACTCAGCTAACTTTGCTTCTTCCAGCAGTTCGCGAAGGTAGAGTCCTTCCTTGGTGGCTGAGCAGAGGGCGATATATTCTGCTTCAGCTGAAGAGAGAGCGATTAGTTCCTGCTTACTCGACTGCCAGGAGATAGGTCCGATAGGCTCGAGACGATAGACGTAGCCGGTGCGAGAGCGCCTGTTATCTGGATCGCCGGCATGATCGACATCGACATAACCGATTAGTTTCGTTGACGCAGCTTCGTTCTTGTAGTAAGTCAGGCCGATCGTAGGTGTGCTCACGAAGTAGTGCAGTGCGCGATCGAGCTCCGCCATGTGCTTAGCTTCGGGTTTCTTGAGATAGGTGGCGAGTTGACTCGCGGAGTAGGATAGATCTGGGCGACAGGTTACGGCTGCGAAGAGGAGGCAGCCTAGTTTCCTCTGGTAGTCTCGTATTCCGGCAGCCTTAAGTGGAGCGGGATTTCCTTTGCCACTTCCTGTCGTGTGGCGGTATGGCGTGGTGATGGCGGTAGGCGTGAGAGAGAAGCGCTTGGCGATAGTGTCGGCGTATTTCTCGGCGTTGAGGTAGATAGCATTTTCTTCTTCGCGGATGTTGAGCCCGAGATACTGGGTGACGGTGGAGGAGACAGTGAGCGTGAGGTCCTTCTGCAGCCCTTCGAACCAGGTGATGACGTTGTCGGTAGAGCCGATGTAAAGCAAGTCGTCGACATAGACGATCAGTAAGATGTAGTCAGCGCCTTTGGTGAGGCGATACATTCCTTGGTCGTGAGGCAGTTGTCGGAATCCGATGCGGGTGAGGCGGGTGTGTAGGTGCTGTTGCCACAGTCGCGGGGCTTGTTTGATTCCGTAGAGCGATTTCAGTAGTTGACAGACTTGGTTGGGGTTTCCGTGAGTGCCGTGTGGGAGTTCGACGAAGATGTCTGCGTCGACGGGTGCGTAGAGGAATGCGTTGGCGACATCGATCTGTCGCAGCTTCTTCTTCTTCATGGCGGCGACGGCGAGAAGAATGCGGAGAGAGGTATGTCGACTAACTGGGGCGAAGGTCTCGGTGAAGTCTCGTCCTTGTTCCTGGTCGAATCCACGCACGACCCAGCGTGCTTTGAACTTCTCGATTGTGCCGTCAGCTTTCGTCTTGATGCGGAAGACCCATTTCCCGGTGAGAATGGTCTTGTTCCGTGCCACGCTTGCGGGAACGACCTTCCAGGTGTTGCGTTCCTCCAATGCCTTTAATTCCCTGTCCATGGCTTCACGCCATTTTTCCCTGTGTTCCCCCCCCAGAGCCTGCTGAACTGTCGCAGGCTCTTTAGGAAGAGTGTTGCCGTGGACTGCAGTGACGAGGCCAAGGATTTGTAGCCCAGTCTGTGAGTATCGAGGGAGTTCTGGATCCTCGGGATAAGCTGCTTCGTCTCCCGCTTCTGGGTCGGGGATGAAATTTGGCCCTATCCTTTCTGCTTCGTTGGTGTTGACTGTCGCACGTGTTACGTAACCGTTGTCGGCGAAGTGGTAGAAGACTTCGGCGTTGTTACTGTCGCGAGGATTATCTTCATCCATGGGCACATCGACGGAGCAGTACGGGAGAGGTCCGGCTTCCTCCGATGCGTTGTCGACGTTCTGTTCATCCCAGTCTGCTTTGTCCGCTGCTGAGGCGAAGGCTCGGTCACCACGAAAGCCACCTGTGGGGTCCCGATTCTCGTGCAAGTTGGCGAGGTACGTCTGAAGGGTGAGTCGTTTGTAGAAGATCACATCACGTGCTGCTACTGTTTCTTTTGTGTGGACGTCGAAGATTCTCCACGCGTTGTAATTTTTCTCGATGCCGAGGTGTAGTCCCCACTGTGCCCGTTGCGAAAATCTTCCCGCTCGTGCTTCTGGGGGTCGGTACTGTACCATGCACCCAAATACTCGTAACATTTTTGTGCTGCCCTGCTTTCCTGTCCACAGCAGATGCGGTGATGCGTTGTTTGGGAGTGACGACGACGAAAGCAAGTTGTGCAGCATGACAGCATGGTCCATTGCTGCTGGCCACTGGTGGTTGGGTAGCCGCATGCCACGTAGTAGTTTGCGCATGCTGTTCTGCAGGGTCCTGTTCATTCTTTCTGCAACACCCTGCTGCTGATGTGCGTAGGGAAGGGAGAGGAGTTGCTTGATCCCCCTTTCCGCCAGGTACTGCTTGAAGCGCTGAGAGGTGTATTTGCCACCTCCGTCTGACTGGAAGCTTTTCAGCTGCGTTCCTGATTCCCTTTCTGCTACCGGTAGCCAAGCGGCAAATGCTGCGAGTGCCATGTCGGGACTGGGTAGGTTGCGATGCCACACGTATCGAGTGGCGGCGTCGATGAAGGTAATCGTGTAATTATAGGTTACTTGGCCTGGTTCTCGATTGTAGAGGATGTCGCTGTAGACTTTTTCGAGTGGTGCGTATGCAGGTGCGCTCGGGTTGTGGTGAGAAGAAAAAGGTCGATGTGGTAAGTCGGCCTCGGGGCAGATGAGGCAAGTCCCCCGTGCACGTTGAAGTTCTCTGCCGTCGAGTAGTAGTAGTGAGTCTTTGTCTAGTACTCCTGCTCGTATCGTATTATTTAACACCGTGTTACTTGGATGTCCTGTGCGTGCGTGCCAGATGTCTTCGGAGGCGCGGTGTCCGGGTGAACGTTGATATGCGTCGGAGTTGGAGTAGAAGCTGGCGACGAAGTTGGCGCTGCGGTGGACTTCTCGTTGAGTCGGGTTTAGCTGTTGTGCGGGTGTTGGTGGTGCTTCGTCGACGATGACTGGTGTCGTTGTTCCTGCTGCCGCTGATGTTGTCTCTGCTGCTGCCGATGTTGTCTCTTCTGCTGTCGATGTTGTCTCTGCTGCTGTCGATTGTTGAATTGTTGCTAATGCTCGTGTTCACTCTGCTTCAGGGATGGTGTGTGAGTACCAGAAACCTCCTGGACTGAAATCAGGATCGAGGTCCGGAGGGTGTGTCCAGTCGGTAAAGTTGACGATGGCGTCGCTGTCTGCAGTGCCCAGGTCGGGGACGAAGTCAAGAACGAAGACGTTATTCTTCAACACTGCTTTCCCGATGTAG